TAATAATAATAAATGAAATTGAAGTACTTGACTCTGTCCCCATGAAACTTCTGTCTGTTAAATGAATGTTGATCTAAGACAGTGAAATCTGTGCTCTTTCAAGACCAGGAAAGTAAACATGCAATTGCTTCCCAATTTGAATTACACCCTGCAACACTAGCCTTAAAGGTGGCTTTTGTAAACAATTACATTTGGGCCCCTCTGGTCTCCAACTACCTTAACTGCATCAAATGATTTTGCAGATTGCCAACACCTGTGGGACTTGGATTAGAGAAAGAGTGCTTCCCACACAGGACAGCAAGACTTGAGGAGGACAGGACCCTGTTGAGAGTGAGATCCTGCTGGTGAGACGCTGGTGATGGTGGTTGAGAGACTTTGACATTGCTCTGGCAAGGTGTAACCAGAGGAGCTCTGAGTTAGCGGCTACTGTTAAAGGGGTTGCTGTTCTTGCCTTTGATGATGGAAGGAAAAGCTGCTTGCTGAACTGAAACTGGAGCCTGGACTAATTGAGGAATTGTGCCTTGCGACTGCAGGGCTAAAACTTAGATTTGTATTGGGTGATGTTCTTTGCCTCACCCATTCTCCAATTTATTTCCTTAATAAACCCCATTTTCAGTACCACAATTGTGAGTCAACAATGAATAAATGAGTCTCTTGTTGCTAGTGTAGCTTTGGAGGCACCGTGCGGCTGGACTATGTTCTCTTTATCTGCTATGTATTGTGGAATGGTGAGAGTCTGTGCTATTCTCATTTTCTCTAACCCTTTCAGAAAGACACTCATGGCCCTGTGCCTCCATCTCTCATTTTCTGCTCTCTGGACACACCCTTACTTATCATGTACTTTTAACTATGCTTTCAAATCACAAGGTGAGGCAAAAATTAATGATCGACTTGGGGGATACAGTCAGAAGTCTCTTACTTTTTCTTGTATTCAGTAAATGTGTTTTCTGAATAATCAGCACATATTTCTTGTCCCTTTTTAATGAAAGAAGATAGTTCTTTCTTCATTAGAGGTCCCTATAAGAAAAACAAAATTATTTTGTCTTGAGTAACTCTTCCATGAATCTGTTAAATCAGAGTTCTGTGTTAATCTGTACAACAGGCAACAACAAGCATTTTTTCTATAAAGAGCCAGAGCATAAATATCTTAAATTTTGCAGCCAGTATGATCTATATCACAAATACTTAATGCTGTTCTTTCAGAGTGAACAAAGTCATTAAAAGTGCATAAATAGATGCACATGACTGTGTCTGAATTTCAAATAATTTTTCTGTCTTTCAAATTTATTAAACATGTTTTTCAGTCATTGAGTATTATAAATTACTACTTCTTTACTTCACGAACCATATACAAATAGGCACCAAGCTAAATCCGGTGCTTATGTTGCAATTTGCAAATCCCTATTCTGAAGTAAGGCTGGTAAAGAAAATCTAGCAAGTTGTACCTTGTCTTTAAAACAGGCAGTAGAGTCTGGAGAGTGACAACATTCATCAAGGGCTTTCAATGTTGATTCAAGGACTTTACTGAGGAACACTTCTGGAATATGAGTCCTTCTGCTTAGTTCAAATATATATCTAGTGTAATAGTATAATGGAGAAAAGAAGATATTCTTTAATATTTGTAGATAGGCTCATGCTTTAAGATGTAGCATACATACAATAAAGGCAAATTCTTAGGGTTTCTTTTTCTCTTTTTGGGGGACCTTTAAATAAAAGAAAATTTTTGGTTATAGTTAGCATCTTGATAGAATATGTAAAATTTCAATTGTTATGTGAAATTTTAATTGCTGTATAATTATGGACAGACTTTTCTTTGAATGAAGACATTATGACTAGTTAACTAAAGATCTTTATCTGTATTGTATATAAATTCATACATAAACCCAAAACTGATTGTAATTGGGTCAGTTCCTACTCATAGTGACCTTGTAGGACAAAGCAGAACTTCCTAGTAGGTTTTCTAAATGAAGAAAATGGGAAATATCCAGTGGGAACTGAAAGGACAGCATAAAGGTGGGCATAGATCAATGATAATTAATTTTAGAAAATACAACATATAAGAATTATTGTGTGAAACACAGTATGAATGAAGGGAAGTGTGAAACACAAGACAGATAAATTTTGATTGCAAACAAATATGTTGTTGTTATTGATTGCTGTCGAGTTGAGCATGACTTGTAGCGACCCTATGAAAAAAAGGCCTGAAGCCTTTCTATAATTATTGCCATTTATCAAGATTCATGGAGTTTACATATTCATGCTGTTTAGGAAGTGGATGCCACTCCTGCTTCCAAACAATATAAAAGAAAAAAAAATGATAGAAATAAAAAAAATATAATGAGTGTAGCAACAATCTTTATGAACGCAGACTGCCTAATCTTTGTCCTACAAAATGACTGATAGTTTCTAAATGCAAGTCTTTTAGTCCACAGCTGTAGTTCTGGTGGCATAAAGGGTAAGGAGTTTTGCAACTAACCAGCTGCTCTGTGGGAAAGAGATGGGCTGTATACTCCAGTGCAATTTACGGTCTCTGAAATCCCACTGAAGGGTCAATTATGAGTTGGTTCTGAATGCACAGAAATACACCTTTTGAGCAAAAGTACTTACTTTTCTCTGACGTTGGTGTTTGCTTTATCACACACATCTGTATTTGTAGGTAGTTCAACAGGGGGCAGCGTGAGTGGCTGGGCAGCTGGCATGAAGTAAGTGCACACAAAAATATCCATGGGTGTTTTTTCTTGACAACAATCCTCAAATTTAGAATTCTTTGTGGATAAGTTTTGACAGAGTTTTACTACATGTTCAGGAAGCTGCAAAAGGAATAGTGAGTTTGTCATTTGCTAGATTACATTTTGATTTAAGTGAAAATAAGACTTAATATGCCCACAAGCCCATGCATAGTGCTCATAAAAATTCAGCATGAAAGCTCTCAGAAATAAAATTGGTACAATATATTTGTAAGGTAATTTCTTAATACTTGCTAAAAGCCTCAAAAATGTACAATTGCATTTGTAAGAATGTATCCTTGAAAGATCATTTTAGATGAAGGGCAATTTAACCAAAAGGCTTCTAAATGGAGCATTCCTAAAATATTTTAAAACGAAAACAACCTAAGCTAATATTAAAGATTCAATATATCTAGGTAGTTATATTCAATGCATGCAGTAGACGTATGAGCTAGTGCCCCACTTAGTCATTATAAATCAGGTTATAGAAAAACATTTATTCATACAGATTTGTATTCTTGATAGAAAAAAAATGAGGAAATGCACAAATCTTTTCTTAGATTAGCAAGATTTTAAATAACTTTTATTCCGAAGTTTGGGAAATGTATCTACAAGTTTGCTCAAATTTGTATGTATAAGGAATTATTATTCAAATGAAAGATGATGAAAAAAGAAAATGATATCAAATTATATAACAAATTATGAAAGCATCAGTAACTTTCCCTCTTTATCCCCAAATCTTTATTGTGATTTGAATGAAAGTTTAGAAAAAATATTGTTTTCCATTCAAAAATTCCTATACCTTTTTTCCCCATGACTGATTGCAATTCCTACAGTGAAGAAAATGGCCAAGATCATATGGGAACTTGAAAAGACAGGATAATGGTAGGCATAGATCATTGATGATTAACTTTATAAAACACTATGTATTGTGTTTCTAAGAATGTGTCCTTGATTATGTAAAACACAATGTGAATGCAGAAAAGTGAAACACAATGTATAATAATTTTTGTATGCAAACCAGTATTAAAACTAAATTTGAAAAATAAAAGATCAAAAAAAGTGTAGCAGCACTCTTTCCACTTTCCCCCTACGTTTCTATTATTTTTATTTTTCCCTGTACCTTCCCTTTTCTCTTTCCCTTTTTGCCTTTGAGCTTGACCTCTGGGCAAATGCTTCCATTTTTACCTTACATGGTTTGTTCATTGTTCTAAAGAAAGAGGTGTTATTATTGACCTTATAGGCAGTGCATGAAATAGCCAAGCACTAACCTAAAGATCAGCAATTTGAACCTCCTTACTGTTTTAAGGGTGAAAGATTTACATCCTGGAAATATGATGGCATTTCCTGGAAATATTTACAACCTGCTTCTGGAAAGAGTTTCAGCCACTTAAACATAATGCTGGCTTGGTCTGAGCTGGAAATTACTTGATAGCAACAGGTTATCACTTGATTAATAGAAGTAGAGTCACAGTTGTGGGTTCAGTTCCAGACCTGAAGAGTATTAAGGGCTCAGTTTCCATCAGATCAGTAAGCCTGATAGGTCTTTTTTATGATTTCAACTTTTGCACTATAGTTTTCTCCTACTATATCCAAGTTCTCCTATTTTGATCCCTTTCAGAGGGATTAATGGGGATAGATAAGAACCATTCCCAGTGACGTGGAGTCTGAAATTCACATAATCAATTAGTCCTTTTAGTAAATTTCCATACATCTTTGATCTTGTTGCTTTTTTTTATTTTGAATAGCAAGACATCAATAGCTGTAATTTAGATGACAGCTTACTGTCTTTTACATCTCCATTGCTGCTCAACAAAACAGGACATAAAACATTGTCTTTGTGGATTATGTTATATTAAATGATGTTAGTGTCCTCTAATGCTATAGTTCTGAAACCCTAGTCCCAGTAATTCATTTCCTCAAGGTGTTTTGTTGGTGTTGTTGTTAAGTGCCATCAAGTTGCAGGTGACTCATAGCGACCCTATGAAGGAGAGTCCTCAACCCTTGGGTGCCTTTCATCCTCTCTCCTGGTTCATAGGGTTTCCGGAGGCAAGCTATTATGGAAGTGGATGCCACTCCTCCTTCCACAAGGTGTTTTATTATGGAAATTTTCATAACTTTCCCTCCTGTAAGCATTAATAACTCTTAAGGGAGCAAATAATGTAAAGCATAGTCCACTGTCTATTATGCAATGGTAGAAATAATTTATATCTTTACAGTCCATTATTACTGAGCCCCTGAATACTTGACATACACTTACTGTAATAGAAGAGTGGAAAATATGCTTATTTTATATAATTTAACTAATATTATTTACTTTAAATAATAGCATACAACTACTGGTCATTGTTTTAGACAGCAAGAATTGAGAATAAAAAATATGGTGGCATAGTCAGTAGGAAGCTGCACTGATAAAGCAAACATCACGCTTTTCTTGTAGTTTAAGTGTACCAGTGCTTCTGTAGGAGGAAGATAGGCTATCTCCTTCATTTGTAGGCTCAGAAACTCGATAAAGGATCAGCTATGAGCTTATTCTGACTGGTCAGCACTGAGCTGAGTTGTCGTTGAGTACATAACCTGAGATTTACTTCCTGCACAGTTTCAAATTACTGAGTTTTGCTAATCTGTTTTCTCATCTGGAAAACGGAGTTAACAATATAATTCACAGGTTACCCAAGCAAATTCATTGAGGTGATGCATGTGAAAGGCTTCTTCTAAGAATGTTTGCCATCCAGCAAATAACACTTATTTGATGGCCCATGATGCTAGTAATGGAGAGGGGTCTTCTTACCTCCTTTGCCATGCAGTCCTCAGAGGTAGACTCACAGCAGTTAGTAAGGACTTTAGTAACATCTTCAGCTAATGGCAAAACATCTTCCAGATCAGCAGTAGGTGCTTTTTGAGCTAATTTTATGAGATGGCTAAGTAGTTAGAAACAAGTCTGTTAGCAATCAACATTCTTAGTTTTCTTTGTCTTGTTATGACTGCACATAATAATAAGAAGAATAAGAATATAAGAAGATAATAAGAATATTATTACAATTTGCCTTCAACTGTTACTTGAAGCATGTCTATTACTATATGAATCCAATGTACTAAAAACTTCTCAGTAAAAATACCAACAACAAAACAGCCTTAATGAATCTTTTCAAATGTTAAGCTCTCATGTATTTTTTTCTAGCCAGATATACATGTTTGAAGCAGGTCTTTAAACATTAGATCTAAATCAGAAATAAAGAAAAGCAATCAGGACTATCTTTTTTAAATTTAAAATTATTATTAATTTCAGTAAAAACTTACAGAGATTTAGGATTTCCATTCATTCATTGTTGCACTTTTCTCCCTTCACAACCCTCTCCCCTAGTACACTAACCTCTTGGAAAAGTAAAAGACAAATTCTTTCATTGTTTTAGAAACCCTCCCCCAAGTCCACTCTACCATCTAGCCTTTGCTCTAGATTCCTGTCATGACAAAAATCCCTAATCACAGTTTTCTCCCTCATCTGTTTCAGTGCAGTATACATTATTGAACCTATCTTTCTCAGTTTCTCCTCAACCCCAAGCTCAGTCCTCTTTTACAACAGTGGCACCATACAGTATTTGTTCTTTTGTGACTGAGATACTTCACTCAGCATAATGTCCTTCAGGCTCACCCATTTTGAATAATATTGCATGAGTTCCTTGTTTTTCAATGCAGCATAGTATTCCATTGTGTGAATATATGACAGCTTCTCTATCCATTCGTTTGTTGATGGCACAAGGAGTTGTTGTTTCCAACTCCCTGCTATTGTGAACAAAGCCTCAATAAACATGGGTGTGCATATATCTGCTTGGATGTCAGTTATGGTCTCTTTGGGGTATATTCCCAGCAGTGGAATTGCTGGGTCAAATGGTATCTCTATTTGTAACTTTTTGAGAAGGCGCCACATTGCCTTCCACAGTGGTTGCACCATTTTACATTCCCACCAACAGTGAGTAAGGGTTCCAGTTTCTCCACAACCTCGCCAGCATTTGTTGCTTGCTGTTCTGTTGAAGTTTGCTTTTCTGTCTGGGGTGAGATGATATCTCATAATTGTTTTTATTTGCATCTCTCTTAGAGCTAGGGATTTTGAACATTTCCTCATGTGCTTGTTAGCCATCTGAATGCCTTCTTCAGTGAATTGTCTCTGTTCATATCCTGTGCCCATTTTTCTATTGGATTATTTACCTTTATCTTGTTGTGGTAATCACACCTATCTATGCACAAACCAAAAACTGTTTCTGTAGTGCAATATATTCTTTTAAAATATTTTAATAAATTTACTTTGCAAATACAGATTAAATTAATGAAGTTGTTAAACCTATTGCACTCAATTATAGTGTTAGTAAATGTTGATATATTGGTAGGTAACTGTTGAATACTTTCTAAGGCTTACACTCATGAATGGAATTTTGTCCTAGCTCTGGTGGCCTAGTGGTAAGAAGCTGCACTGCAATTGCAAGGGTACATAGTATGAATCCATCAGGGGCTCTGCAGGAGAGGGATGAACAATCGTCTCCCATACCATTAACTGCCTCTGAAAACTCACTGAAGGGTCAGCTATGAGTTGATTCTGACTCAATGGCACACAAAAACAACAATCCAGTTACTCTCTTATTTCAGATTTTTGTTTAACAAGTCATGTGTAAGATCTATGTTCTTGAATACTTTTTCCATCAAACTTTAAAAAGCTACATGTATTTTTTTTCACATACTGTATTTTATGTAAATAACACAGGCCTTCCAGGCTTATTTATCATGAATTTCCTCCCTGTATAATGTATTGTTGTAAATATGCTAGGTTATTATACTTTTTGGTAGCAATTTATGAATAAAATATCTTATGGAAATAACCTCTGTCCCTGGGTTGTAGAGGAAGTGGTTCACCAATAAATATAGAAGACATATATTATTTGCATGTAAAACAGTAGATATATCACAACCAAACTGAGTAATACTCTATTCTAGGGACTATTAGGAAAAATAAATGCCATTCATACATAAAATTGTCATATGAATACTTTGTTGGAAATCTTTGCTTATACTCAATACTATGCATTGTCTTTCAGTTCATCCTTAGGTACTGATATTAGTATTAATTTAGGCTAATTTGTTGTTGCTAGGTGCTGATGAGTTGAGTACAATCCATAGTGACTCTGTGAACATCAGATCTCAACCCTGTACTATCCTGTGCCATCCTTACAATCTCTGACACACTGCGGCCTTTGCCACAGTCACCATGTCAATCCACTTTGTTGAAGTTCTTCCTTTCCTTAACCAACCCTCTACCTTTCCAAGCATCATGTCCCCTTTCAAGGAATAGCTCTTCCTAGCAATATGCCCAAAGTATGTGAAGTGAAGCCTCATTATCCTTGCCTCCAAAGAGCCCTCTGGCTGCACCCTTTCCAACACATATGTCTTTGTTCTTTTGGCAGTCCATGGGATGGACAATGCTCTTCTCCAATACTACAACTCAAAGGCATCAATTCTTCTTCTGCCCTGCTTCTTCATTTCCCAGCTCTCAGGTTCATACCAAGTGAATGAAAAGACCATAGCCTGAATCAGATGCACCTTAGTCCTCAAACTGACATTATTACTCCTCAATAATTTGGAGAGTTCCCTAACTGTAGACTTCTCCAGGGCAATATGTTTCCTGATTTCCTGATTGCTGATACCAAGGGAGTTGATTGTGGATCCAAGTAAGATGAAGTTGTTGACAGTTTCAACATCAACAGAGAACTACCTGAAGTGCAGGCTGGATTTAGAAGAGGCAGTGGTCCTAGGGATCTTATAGCTAATGTCAGATGGATCTTAACTGAAAGCAGAGAGTACCAGAGGAATGTCTATCTGTGTCTCATTGACTCTTCAAAGGCTGTGTAAATCACAACAAACTGTGGCTGACTCTGAGAAGAATGGGAATCCCAGAATACTTGATTGTGCTTATGGGAAGCCTATACTTGGACCAGGAGCCAGTTAGTCATTAGAAAAGAGCAAGGAAACACTGCATGGTTCCAAATAGGGAAGGGTGTCCACCAAGGATGTGTCCTATCTCCATATATTTTCAATCTATATGCAGAATAGATGATCCAAGAAGCTGGGCTCTATGAGGAGGAATGTGGCATCAAGATTGGAGGAAGACTCATTAACAATCTGCATTATGTAGACGAAACAACCTTGCTTGCTGAAACTGAAGAGGACCTGAAGCTCTTGCTGCAGAAGGTCAAGGACTGCAGCCTTCAATATGGATTGAAGCTCAACATCAAGAAAACAAAGATTCTCACCACTGGGCCGGTTGGCAACATCATAATAGATGGTGACGAGACAGAGATTGTTAACAACTTCAGTTTGCTTGTATCTACAATGAACACTCTTTGTACTAGCAGCTAGGAAATAAAAATTTGAATTGCACTGGGGAAAGTCTGCTGTCAGAGACCTGTCCAAAGTATTGAAGAATAACGATGTTAGTCTGGAGACTAAGGTATGCCTGATATAGGCCATGATCTTTGCAATTACTTGTAATGCATCAGAAAGCTGCAAAATGACTAGGGATTATAGAAGGAGAATTGATGCCTTTGAACTGTAGTCCTGGACAAGATTATTGAATGTACCATGGACTGCTAGGAGAACAAACGAGTTTGTCCTGGAGAAGGTGAAGCCATCCTGCTCCTTGGAAGCAAGGATTCTGATGTTCTGTCTGACATACTTTGGACATTTTGCAAGGAGGAATCAGTCCTTGGAGAGGGACATCATGCTTGGGAGGGTGGAAAGGCAGCACAGGAGAGGAAGACCCTCGATGAGATGGATTTATTAATTAACTGGGGAAGTGGGGGTAGGTGTATCGGAGACAATAAAATTGACACAGGTTAGAGCAGAGTTTAGGGTTGTTGTACACAGGGTTGCTATGAGACACAGGCGTCTCGAAGGCACAAACAACAACAGCAATCATGATGTTGCATATTAGTCTAGTGTTAAGAATCTTTATTTGACAGTGAGATACAATCCACATTGAAGGCTGTATTCTCTGATCTTTTGCAACAAGTGTTTCAAGTCCTCATTTTCAGCAAGCAAGATTATGTTATCTACATAAAACAGGTTATTGATGAGTCTCTCCCCAGCCCTGATGTCACATTCCTTTTCATATGGTACAGCTTCTCGAATAATTTGCTCAGCATACAGAATGAGTAGGTATGAAGAAAATACAACCCTGATGCACACTTTTTCCAATTTTAAATTATGTTGTATTTCCTTGCTCTGTTTGCACAGTAACTTCTTGTTCTAGTTCTAAGTTTCATAAGGACACAATTAAGTATTCTGGTATTTATATTATTGTCAATGTTAGCCATCATTTGTTATGATCCACAAGTCAAATGCTTTTGCATAGTCAATAAAACATAAATAGACATTCTTCTGGTATTCTTTGCTTTTGGCCATGATCCATCTGACATCAGCAATGATATCTCTGGTGCCAAGACCTCTTCTATATTCTGCTTGGGTTCTGGCAGTTCTCCATGTGCTGTTAGAATAATTTTTGAATGATCTTCAGCAGTATTTTACTTGCATGTGCTATCCATGATGTTATTTGATAATTTCCACATTCTGGTGGATCATCTTTCTTGAGAATGGGAACAAATAATGGACCTCTTCCAATAAGTTGACCAGACAACTGTCCTTTAAATTTCCTGACATAATCTTGTTTACATGTCCAGGGTTGCATCTAGCATTTGTAACATGTCATTTGGTATCCCATCAATTCCTGGAGCCTTATTTTATGCCAATGCTTTCACTTCTTTTTTAGCTTGAACTTCTTTTTTCATTGCCTTTTAATCATATGGTGTTTCCTGAAATTTTTAGGTGTCAGTCAAATCTTTTCAGTACATTGATGCTGTGTATTCCCTCTATCTTCCTTTCATGCTTCCTGAATCATTCAAGATTTTGCTGATAACATCTGCATGTATTGCCATTTGAGGCTTGAATTTGCTTTTCAGTTCTTGTAGCTTGAGAAAAACAGAGTAACTTCTTCCTTTTTTATTCTCCAATTCTAGATCTCTGCACAGTCTGTTACATAACTTTGCTTTGTCTTCTTGAACTTTCCTTTCTGTTCTGCTCTTTACTTTGTTTCGGCTTCTCAATGCTCTTGTGCAATTTTCAGGGTCTCCTCTGACATCCCTTTTGGGGTTTTCTTTCACCTCTGTCTTTGTAGTGACCTTTTGCTCTCTTCATGGAGAGCATATCATACCACAACTCATCTGATCTTCAATCAATGCTTCAAATCTATTCTTTTTTTTTCTGTTTTTCTGTTTGTTTGTTTTTTTTAATTTAGGTTGTTTATTTTTCATTTCAATGAACATCTACAGAGATTTTGGGATTCCATTCATTCATTGTTGCACACTTCTCCCCGCAC